AACTCAATGGGTAAAGAAAAAACACGTGTCAATATTGTTGTTATCGGCCATGTTGATTCGGGTAAATCAACAACATCGGGCCATTTGATTTACAAATGTGGTGGTGTCGATCAGCGAATGATCGAAAAATACGAAAAAGAAGCTTCCGAAGTAAGAACTCTTTCAAATTTTATCAGTACAATTAGATGTGAAATGTTCAATAGATCGGCAAAGGTTCATTCAAATATGCCTGGGTTATGGATAAAGTAAAAGCTTCGCGAGAACGGGGTGTAACGATCGATATTTCGCTTTCTCAATTCGAAACCAATGTGCACTCGATGACTATCATTGATGCACCAGGTCATCGTGATTTCATCAAGAATATGATAACGGGTACTTCGCAAGCCGACTGTGGAGTTTTGGTCGTATCGGCTAGTGTTGGTGAATTCGAAGCTGGTATTTCGAAAGAAGGTCAAACTCGTGAACATACTCTGTTAGCCTATACGCTAGGTGTGCGACAAATGATCGTTATTGTTAACAAAATGGATGCGACTGTGCCAGCATATTCCGAAGCACGTTTTAACGAAATTAAAGCTGAAGTATCATCGTACCTGAAAAAAATTGGTTATCATCCAGAAGCTGTTGCTTTTGTACCTATTTCTGGCTGGCATGGTGATAACATGATTGAAGCATCGGCAAATATGCCATGGTATAAAGGTTGGTCAGTTGAACGTAAAGAAGGTAATGCAACTGGCAAGACATTACTCGAAGCTCTCGATGCGATCGTTCCACCACAACGTCCAACGAACTTGCCACTTCGATTACCGATTCAAGATGTGTATAAGATCAGTGGTATTGGAACAGTACCTGTCGGTCGTGTAGAAACAGGTGTACTCAAACCAAATATGATAGTGAATTTTGCTCCAGCAAATTTATCGGGAGAAGTCCGATCCATTGAAATGCATCATACAACACTCGAAGGTATGCTTGGTATGAAATCATAGATGATTTCACTTGTCTTTTGTTTCCTAGATGCTGAACCTGGTTGCAATATCGGTTTTAATGTTCGCGGTGTTACTGTGAAAGATATTCGTCGTGGATACGTTTGTTCCGATGCTCGAAATGATCCAGCATTAGAAGCAGCTAGTTTTACTGCTCAGGTATGCAGCTATATACCTTTCTATAAAGTAGACATGTTGTGATGCCTTTAGGTAATCGCTCTCAACCATCCGGGTGAAATTCGTGTAGGTTATTCACCAGTGCTCGATTGCCATACAGCTCATATAGCTTGTAAATTTTCGGAATTGATCTCTAAAGTTGATCGTCGAACAGGTCGTGTTATGGAAGAAGGGCCGCAATTGATCAAATCTGGTGAATCAGCTATAGTGAAACTGATTCCAACTAAGCCAATGTGCGTTGAAAATTTTGCCGACTATCCACCATTAGGTCGTTTTGCTGTTCGTGATATGCGTCGAACAGTGGCTGTTGGCGTTGTCAAATCTGTTGAAAAGAAACCATTGCCATCGAACAAAAACGTCAAAGGACCTGCTGTTGGCACTGGCAAAAAAGAAAAGAAATAGGAAATGGGGTTCTTTCGCAAATGCTCATCACAACCGCAACAGCACCATCGAACATTTCATACCATCGTTCATTTATTCATTGAGACTTATTGGGAACGACGACGAAAACAGAAAGATTTCTATTCTTGGAAGATGTCACATTTTTCAAGTCGAATTTCTTTGTGTTTTCTCGAAAATAATCTCATTTCTAGTCTCTCTGTTTATTCATTTCAAATGAGTTGTGATCTTACAATCTGTTTATCCTTTAGTGTTTGCGAAACCTTTTTTTATGATAAGAAGAAATAAATTTATTCGAGAAAAGTCATACGTAACTATCGATCGTCTCTTTTGTGTTATGAGAACTACAAGTTTCGTTTCGTCAATCACATATGAAAGAACTTTNTGTGTTTTCTCGAAAATAATCTCATTTCTAGTCTCTCTGTTTATTCATTTCAAATGAGTTGTGATCTTACAATCTGTTTATCCTTTAGTGTTTGCGAAACCTTTTTTTATGATAAGAAGAAATAAATTTATTCGAGAAAAGTCATACGTAACTATCGATCGTCTCTTTTGTGTTATGAGAACTACAAGTTTCGTTTCGTCAATCACATATGAAAGAACTTTATGCTTAATTTAGAAGTGATGCCATAAAATCGATACTCCGGGTATTCTGCTTAAAACAGACATGCTATGTATCTTAACAAACTGAAGGAATTTGAATGAATTTGGTCATTTACCAAGTTGGGGGAATTGATCATATGAAGCCTTGCCCAACGGTGAACTTCTACCACTGAAAGCACGAAAGACGCGTTGCCTACTGGCCGGACTTTCTGCAGCACCCACATCTTCAAGATGGCTTCGTCTGCTTTCAGTTGAGTAAGAAAGAATAACAACCTGGTAAAGCATGCAAAGAACACATAGGATATCTTTGTGCAGGATTCGACTTTTTCTTGAGCGAATTCGGTTCAGTGTAGGTTTCAATCGAACTAACACTGGTTCCAAGTACAACTTGATGAGCTCTATCGGTTCCAATCATAAAAATTTTTAGACATACCCTCATCCTCAAGATGCAAGAAGAACTTTATAAAGATTTAATCAAAACATTTGTTGAACTGATCATGAAAGCAATTGATGAAGATAATGCAGACGGTAAAATTTCCATGCATATGGCAGCACATCGATCTGTTGATGTATCTGATACTGAACGTGATGAATTTTTAGCTATTATCACACAAAATAATAAGATAACTGTTTGTAACGGGATATATTGCTATATTCTGACCTGTACGCGACCTTGACTCGTCGACACTAGCATGACCGCTATACTTGGTTGATATCCATTGTTCTCTGTTGCCTATATAAGCGTGTATCTCATAACTAAACAGGAGCTTGTTATGTGAAGAAGCCAAATAAAGTGTGTGTCATCATATCACGGGCACTTCTCTTCTCAAGTTCGTTATACTGTTATCATGTGATTCGTTTGTAATCGTTTTTGTGGTTAAACTTTTTTAACTAATCACTTAAAAATGTAATGAAATGCGACCCAACAGGGGGATGAGGTTTTGAGTCATAATTTTACGTATTATTCCTATGCATATTCATGCTCATGGAAGAGAGATTGAGATAGAAGGAACTTCTGACTTCTATAGTCGATAGAGTAATGAGTCGGATCGATGGGCGTTATTTGAACTTTCTTTTCTTGAGTTTCACAATTTTTAGTCAAGTTACAAGTCTTTAGATAAAGTCATAGTTTGCGATATAAATAAGAAATCTATTTCTACACGATTGAATATCTTTTTCATGCTTGGAAGTTAATCCAGACACCATCTGAATGAATCATTATCCTACTAGTTATTCGAAAATATTTATCAAACTTATTATCAATACAATTACGTGAACTGGCAACTATACACCTTATTTTTTTATACGTAATCAGAATTTTCTTTGGTAGATATTTTTTATATTTGAAGGAAAATATACATCTTGTAAATTTGTGAAACTGTAGGTAGTATTTGGCGTAATAAATGTGCAGTTTTAAACGCCGTCAGGAATACGTCTGTATTTGAATATCTCATTCCATCATTTCTTTGTTCATTTACATCAGAGTAATGATATATTTGACTGATATTTCCTTTCTCTTGTCTTTCCATCTCTGAGCTTCATCTGTTCGCTATCATTGTTTGTGGAATAATTTTCTTGTAAGAACGCATTGAACAAATCAAAATCTTTGGTCGATCATTTCCTTTCTTCAGTTTAATATTTACTGAAACAATTTGCCTTTGGTTATTTTTAGAGAAAGAACATCTTCATTTCCTGGTTCATTTAATACTAGAAATGATCATCAACAATAATACTCAATCAGGTTTGTTTTAGTTAATTACCATCAATTGTTATTCTAATATGATCTCTTTTTCTAGATGTTGAACAACATGCAGAAGATGAATTTCTTCAATTTTCTTGCATCAAGTTGGTATGAAAATAATTTTTTGTTTTCAAGCATTCGATGAATCTTTTTTTTCATCTAGACTTTACCTTCACTATTCATTACCCGAATGAAATCGATGTATTTGATTCTTTTCTTATTGGATAAAAATTGTTTAAGTGGA